TGAGTTCTTTCGAATTTCTCGTATCGTTTTTCGTGGATTAGCATCTCGAGGTCCTTTGATGGGCATAAAGAAATCGTCTTGGTAGCAACCGCCAAACCCATAAAACAAGGGTTAGCTCCGCAGCTGGTCCACAAGCAAGGCTTGGTAAGTAGGTCCATTACCGGCCGGCTCCGGACCGAAAAGACCTAACGGAGTAATCCCTTATCTCGGATCGGAGGTGCTAACGGGGCAGGAATCAAAGTGGGGGACCTATCTACCGCCTGTGTCTATCTCCTGTCAAGTATGCTCCCCAGACATAGACTACGTACAGGGTAGTACTCTTGGATATAATATCACCGCGTGAACGTGAACATAACATTAAGTTACGAATGTCACTCCCGAGGGATCGACCACTATTCTAAAGAAAGTAAGGCGGAGAACTGTTGTTCATTGGAGCGCCGGAGTGCGGGGGTTGTTCCCATCATTGAAGTCAGAGTGTGGGACTGAGCCTTCCGAATGATAAATAAAAAAAAAGTGCTTAGTTTCGTTGGAAAAACCAACGCAAATATCATATTGACTTTCTCTCGCCCAACTTCTAAGGATAGATAGAAAAGGTTGGAGAGAGTTACTTTATGAAATTGTCTCCTTTCTAAAGCTGCGCAAGGCGGCCCCACCCCTCTTTTCCCCCCTTTAATGAAAGACCCTCGCCCCAAAAAAATGGGATTAATTAAAAAAAAAGCTTTTTGATTGATTCAGGGCGCAGCGAAACCAATTTATTTCAAGGCAAAAGGGGGACTTACTTACTTTACTTTTCCTGACATCCTATTCAAATCAAATTTAGCTATGTTAATCGAACAGGAAAAGTTTTAAGATGATATGGACCCTGGACGAGAACCTCCAATTGCTTAGGGGTCGCACTCTGTCCCGCTTGGTGGACGAAATCTTCTCTCCTTTTAGAATGATTTCTCCCACACACCTTTGCCCTCTTTCACCGAAGAGGAAAGAAAAATCTTCCAAGCGGACAGAGACCTAAATTTCCATTAGATTCATTCCTAAGCTTGCTTTGTTGCAGTAAGATGATCAGTCCGAGAGTGCTGGGGAGAAGAGAAAGCGGTAAAAACCCCTCAGATTCGGTCACCGAGCAGTCGTCCGACTCTTAAGTAACCCAGGATGACCCCTTCGACGCTCGCTTCTTTCGCTGTATACCCCCTCCATCCTTCGGAGGTGGAAGAAAGAAAAGGTACTATAAAAAATGTTGTATTTATTCTTTTTAAGTAGGGCCCCAGAACGAAAAAAAGGTGGGGGAACCTGAGTTGTCACGATAGGAAAGAGCAAAAAATGACTATAAGGAACCAACGATTATCTCTTCTAAAACAACCTATATCCTCCACACTTAATCAACATTTGATAGATTATCCAACCCCGAGCAATCTTAGTTATTGGTGGGGCTTCGGTTCGTTAGCTGGTATTTGTTTAGTAATTCAGATAGTGACTGGCGTTTTTTTAGCTATGCATTACACACCTCATGTGGATCTAGCTTTCAACAGCGTAGAACACGTTATGAGAGATGTTGAAGGGGGCTGGTTGCTCCGTTATATGCATGCTAATGGGGCAAGTATGTTTCTCATTGTGGTTCACCTTCATATTTTTCGTGGTCTATATCATGCGAGTTATAGCAGTCCTAGGGAATTTGTTCGGTGTCTCGGAGTTGTAATCTTCCTATTAATGATTGTGACAGCTTTTACAGGATACGTACCACCTTGGGGTCAGATGAGCTTTTGGGGAGCTACAGTAATTACAAGCTTAGCTAGCGCCATACCTGTAGTAGGAGATACCATAGTTACTTGGCTTTGGGGTGGTTTCTCCGTGGACAATGCCACCTTAAATCGTTTTTTTAGTCTTCATCATTTACTCCCCTTTATTTTAGTAGGCGCCAGTCTTCTTCATCTGGCCGCATTGCATCAATATGGATCAAATAATCCATTGGGTGTACATTCAGAGATGGATCAAATTTCTTTTTACCCTTATTTTTATGTAAAGGATCTAGTAGGTTGGGTAGCTTTTGCTATCTTTTTTTCCATTTGGATTTTTTATGCTCCTAATGTTTTGGGGCATCCCGACAATTATATACCTGCTAATCCGATGCCCACCCCGCCTCATATTGTGCCGGAATGGTATTTCCTACCGATCCATGCCATTCTTCGTAGTATACCTGACAAATCGGGAGGTGTAGCCGCAATAGCACCTGTTTTTATATGTCTGTTGGCTTTACCTTTTTTTAAAAGTATGTACGTGCGTAGTTCAAGTTTTCGCCCTATTCACCAAGGAATATTTTGGTTGCTTTTGGCGGATCGCTTACTACTAGGTTGGATCGGATGTCAACCTGTGGAGGCACCATTTGTTACTATTGGACAAATTCCTCCTTTTGTGTTCTTCTTGTTCTTTGCCATAACGCCCATTCCGGGACGAGTTGGAAGAGGAATTCCTAATTCTTACACGGATGAGACTGATCAGTGAAAAATTCTGACACCAATCATTTACGTATTACACCAAGAATTAATTGACAAGCGCATTAGTTTTATAGTTGGCTATGTTGATATAGCTTAGATAGGGAAAAGATATTACTAGGGTAGGGCTTAACTTTGAAATCCGGGGGCTTTGTTCCCGAAACTCCCTTCCTCCTCCCCGTCCTTTGAAAGCTAGAACATTCGCATAGAGGAGTATCCTTATCACGCATGCTTTTCCACTGATGACAAAATGACCTTCTATCCTCTTCTAGGGATTCCTACCCCTATATGGAGAGGGTCAATTATTATTTGAGTATTATGCATGAATATGCTTCTGCGCCGGGAATATCTCATAGCGGGAAGGCCTAGAGATCATAAAGAGATGGGAATGAAGGCATTCCAGCCCAACATACTCCGGTGAATGGGTCGAGAGAGATAGAGAGGGGAGTGGGATACAGGAAGTATAGTGAAGAGTTGAGTGGCTATCCAACCATCCAATCGGCTATGGAGGGTGGTTTCAGCAAGCGGGTAAACCGATGATGACTAGTCAAAACGTAGGCCGATCGTCGCTCATCCCTCGTGTTCTCTCCCGTGAAGTGATTAATCCCTAAAATGGGCATGCAATCCCTATGGAAAAGCCAGTATTCCAATTGGAGTCAATTTCCACCCTCTGATGATCCATTCCGCCCTTCCGTATAGCCATAAAGGTATGGAATCTTATGGATGACTTGAAGTAGTTCTTCCACCCCCTCCTCTTTCACCTATCCCTTAACTCCCCAGGGGATTCCGTACAGCTATACAATCACGGTTAATCGCTCGGAGGGAGGGAATAGAAGCAAGCATATTCCGTTCAGTCGGTAATGAATCAATACGCAGGGAAACTTTCTTCCATGGGAATGGCAAGTCTCGGACAGGCTCATATTGGTTGGGTATGCTCTTTCCATAGGCGACTTTCCAGAAGGTCTTCAAGGTGGATATGCTCTTCTTCGATGGTCTTTCTGAGAAGAAGATTCATAATTAACTACAATTTTTGACGTCAGCTGTCCTCAAAAAGATATTTATAGCGAGCAGCACTACTAAAAATGACCGGGGGCTTCAACCAGATTTCGCCCTATGCATCGGGAATTGGATCAAGATCAACTGCTTTTTAATTAAGCTTTTGGATTTGGCTCTCGAATTTACTATTGAAAAGGAAGGGATGTTGGGCGAGGTGATGGCTCTCTTTCAAGATATGCATCTCGAACCAGGTCTCCAACCGGCACTGAAATTGGCCCTGCACTGGGGGTGCCCCTCCCCGGTCTCAAGAACTCGAGCGGTCTTAACTTAATAGGTACTGGTAGCCGATTCGTATTGTATAGCTGCTGGGAAGCATCAAGATCGATCAATGTCCTGATTGCAAGGCATTAAGATGTCAATGCCTAGTAGTTAATGTGTTCCCGGTGGGTCTATCGTCAGTGTTCTAGTGCAAATAATATATCTATGTTTTTCAAAGCACGTCAAGACCAAAACAAAGCGAACGGACGGCAGGTTACTTTGATCTCACGCGGGCCTATACTTCGGCAACTAAGAAGGGGGCTGGGCAATAAGGAGGCTCCTAGCTAAACTTGTCTCGTTCGCGAATGAACCCAACGTCAGGAAATTAAAGAGGCCGCCCTAAGCACCATGCCTGTTTTGATCCTTGTTCCCCTTCTCGCCTCGCCCTATCCGACTGGACACCACATCTCGTCTTCAACTCATTCCGACACTGTGAGATCCTATGGTCACGCCTTAGTCCGAAGGGCTAAACGGGCTTTTGGGCTTTATAAAGAAATGTGACTCTCCACCTATTTCATTGTGTGCTTACCCCCCTTCTGCGCTAAAAAAAAAGATAGTAGATAACGTAAGACTTTGCTTGGCTTGCTCCGAGCCATCTTGTTAAGGAAGGGCGGCTAGGGTGGGAAATGAAGAATCATGGAATTCAAAATAAGGAGATGAGAAGGAAGACTCTTAGTTGTTGAATGCGAGCCACTACATAGGTGGAATTTTATAAGCTCCTTTAGGCCCGGCTAGCCCGTAGAGTCTTAGGCTTTTTGCCACTTTCCATGACGCAAGGTCGGGGTCGTTACGAATAGGACACATATACACCAAACCTTTTAAGGATGAGGTTCCAGTTTGCCATTCCTATTATTTATAGGCTTCCAGTCTCCTCATAAGTCCGCTCTTCTATCTTCGCAGAATTCACCCGGCTCTCTGACTCACCTTCGCGTCTAGGGCATGATGTCTTTAATTTAAGATGATTCAATTGGTCAATCGTCTTGTTATTCTTCCGGGCCTCTCTACGGGATTGGAAGAAGGAGTTTTCACCCAAATGAGTTAGAGTTCCTCCGAACCGTGTCATTCTCGAAGTATGGCACAACACTCTGTCGAAAACACGAGGCGGGAGTGCGTCGAAGCATGAATTGACCTAGCGACGTTAACCTTGGGTGAGGTGCAGTGCACTAGCGAGCGACTTCCTTCCCCAAAACAAAAAAAAGAATGCCGCTATCATTATCATGCGCGAAGCTAAGCTTGATAGGAGCCCGAGCTAAGAGAATAGAGCAAACTCGACGTCACAAAACCAGGGATAGATCGCTCAAGGGAGCAACTCGAGATAGATGCAAGATTCTTTCTCCTGCCCTTCACTTAGAAAGAAAAGTAAATTTTTCAGCACGCACTAATTCCTAAGTTTTGTCGGTCGAATAGCCTTCTTGTGTGACCTTCCACGGGGTGGCAAGCTTTAGAGAATAGGGGCGAGGTCCCCATACTACATAAGGCCGTAAGCAGTGGCTCGACGGAGATGGTTCGAATCAAGCGAAACCAAAGGCATTCGTTGGCACCCGAGATGCTAAGGATCGAAGACTAACTTTTTGGATATGGAATAGTACTTTCTGTTTGTGCCCCTTTTTACGACCAAGTCACAATGGCTAGTATCTATCTGGGGATGCGCTGCTGTGGTGACGGACGCGATATGAGGACATGCTGGAGGGCCGTTGCGAGATCAACGCCTGGCTGGGATGGGAGGAACTAAATAGGGAGCTCAAGGAAAGGAGCAGTTCCTGCCTGGGAACGTTGTATGGCTCGCACGAGAGTCCCTGATGCGGGCCGGCACTGTTCGATAAAATCAAAGCAGACCATGGGGGACTGACCCGAGCTATAGACAAAGAAGGACTTTGATAGATAGAATAAGGCACTAAGACATCAAAAAGAGGGCTACTTCACTATGAATGGTAACATATGAATTGAAACTAATGCGACGGGTGTCAATTACCAAAAACGACTCGACCACTAACTCAGTCCCGCGGGACATTTCTAACACAAGGCCGAAGATGGATGCGAAGAATATTTTACTCTCGAACCATCACACGGATTCCAACCCAACAGCCCATGATATAGTAAGAACGGAATGGAAAGGGAAAAAAACGATTCTATATGCAGACGTGAAAGCTCTATCGATAGAAGCATTCATTCTAGCCTATCTTTTTTTTTTTAGAGAGGAACGATTCCCTCGTCTGAGAACCGCCATTCACGCACTATTCCTCCCCACTAAAAAGAGCTATTTATAATCTCGATAACCTAAAAAAAATGCAGAAGTGAGCGTACCCCAAAGCTATCCTCTCTTCCCCTTTTTTAGCTTTAGCCAACCCCATTTTTTTTCACCTTGAATTGGTCAAAGCCAAAAATATGATAAATAGAAGGAAGAGAGATCAGAAAGATAGGCGGACGACTTTACTATAGTATAGGTCGGATGTTTCCGTGAGCAGTAAGCAGCAGATCTCCCCTTATTTATTTCATTTTTTAAAGCTGGTGGCCGCCTGTGAATTCTTTCAAGGCTAGGGGCGGCCTGATTCGCCATTGTTGTTTACTCTGATCCGGTCGAGGTGGTTTTCGTTTACCAGCGCGTAGGCGGTCTAAGTTCCTATGACCGAGTCTTTCTGGCCCCTGTGAACATATTTTCTTAATGTATTAAAGAGGGCCTCTCTAACCGGTGAAAAGTGGTGGGTGTCCACTAACGGCCATTCCTGGCTCGGCTCCGATAACGCAATTCCGGAAGGAGTCGGTAGTTGGGCACTGGATCCCTTCGGACCTGGAGAACGCGTGACGCTGGGTCGGGGTTTGGTGAACCAACTGGTCGCTCCTCTAGTTGAAGTCTCGGGCCCCTTTTTCTTTCGTTGCCTAGGTTACACCTTCGGAATACCCCAGAAGGTAATTTATCTCTATTTCCCTCAATCTTCACTTTACGCCACGCCGACTCTCCTTTCGTCATAAGGCGTGGAATTAGACCAAGGGGAATCTCCATAGGAACTAGTCCCTCAGATTTCGCACGTAGGAGATCGAGACACAGCCCCAGGGCTATGAGGAAAGATGTAGATCGATCGCCTCAGATAGACAACTACATAGAGGGTCTCTACAAGTCTATATATTCTTTTATATTTTGTTCCCCCCGTAAGATCACCAATGAGGTCTGCAAGTTTCACATCTAAGTAATACCCGATCTGATAGTTTACGATATATATTTAACAACAACATTCTAAGCTAAGAAAGGAGATTTTTAGATATCGGTAGTTGTCCGGTCGTACCCAAACAGTAAGATTCCAGAGGAAAATGCACCTAAGATCAAATATTTCGAGCCGGCTTCCGTGGAAAATTCAGACTTTCTTTTTGATGCTGCCATCACATAAAAACATAAACTTTGAGGCTCAATAGCTAAATACATGGCAATTGAATCATGAGCCGAGATCATAAAGAGCATACTGCGAGTAGGAAGT